TCATCTGAAAGAACAGGAGGGGACTGGAGAGACTGCTGCCTCCTTGTGGCCACTACTCTGCTTTGAGAGGTGCAAACAGATTTGCAGCAATAGCCTTAGAATAGTCATCTTCCATAGCCCACACCCACGGAGGGAGCTCAGTTAGTAACGCAGTAGACTGACAAGCGCGAAGACTGAGTTTAATCCCAAACCTACAGAAAAAGGTCGGGCATGAGAGTACAGTGTCTAACCCCAGCTCTGGGGCCCGCAGAGACAGCTGAACCCCTGGGAATCACTGACTGCCTAGGCCACTTGACAAGCTCCAAGCCCATGAGACATCTTGGCTCAAAAGACAGGTGGACAAGGTTCCAGACAATGACACCTGTTCCGAACAGTGACTTCTGGTTTCCATACACATATGTAGATACATGCAAATGCCTTCTCACACACATGAAAACTTACAAACACACAAATAAATGTAAAAAGAATCATATAAAATAAATAAAAAGGAAATGGCTGGGGCCTGCACTGTTTCCTCTGGAATTTTTCTCAGAACAGACGAACTGTTTTCACTAGCTTACTCTTACTTCTTTCGTTTTTAATTTTTTTTTAAAAGTCCTACTATTTGGTTTTTGTGTTGTTTGTTTGTTTTAGACAGGGTTTCTGTGTAACTCTGGCTGTCCTGAACTCACTCTGTAGACCAGGCTGGCCTCAAACTCAGATCCATCTGCCTCTGCCTCCTGAGTGCTGAGATGAAAGGAGTGAGCACCACGGTCCAGCCAGAGCTATTTTTATGTAGCATGTGTGTCTCTCTGTAGGGATTTGTACATGAGTACAGTTCCTGCAGGGTCCAGAAGAGGGTGGAGGATCCCCTGGCACTAGAGTTACAGGCTGCTGGGAGCTTCCATCTGTTTTGGGGTGCTGAAACCCCAACTCCTTTAGAGGAGTAGTGCACATCCCTAACCCCTGAACCCTTTTCTTACTTCTTCATCCCCTGCCTCAGCTCTCAAGGTCTTGGGCTAGCCCCCTCATTCTGAAAGTGCCCATCTTTGCCCGGGTTCCTTTCTGCCTTGCCGCCCTAGGAGCAAGGCCTGCTTCACAGTTCCAGGCACTAAGCAAAGAAGTTAGCACATGCAGGAGGGTAGACTGGGCATTTCAAGATTAGCTGCCATGTTTCCATTGTCTAATTGGTTTGCTTGGGGCCATTTTAAACATGGTACCTGGACTGTTCTGCCCTTGAGTGGATCTAGCAGCGATAAGGTAACTTAGTTGTCTTCCTGTTGTTGAACATCGCTTTCCAGTGTTTAGCCCTCATATATCACATTGCCATAAGAGCTCATGAATTTTAAAGGAAAAAGTCATTTTAACCAGACTCTTGAAGATGGAATTTTATAAAATGATATCTTAACTCGAGTGGGTGAAGCAATCGCCTGCTTGACAGGTCTGCTCGCGGCCTGTTGCCCAGCAGCTCTCCACTGCTTTAAAGCAGTAGTCTTGTGAGGGACTCCTTCCCTGCTGGCTGCTGGGGCTCTGGAGGCGCCGTGTTTCCAGAGAGACTGGAATCTTTGCATTGGAGGGATTTGGGTCGCACAACATATGTAATAGTTTAACATATTTTTTACAAAGTGAGAAACAATTTAGGTTCCTGCCAATAGAGTGTGATTTAAACAGTAAGGGTCAGATGTGCAGTGGACTGTTGTGTCCCTGCTGGGCTCTCTTGTGAAGGGTACGAGGTGTACTGTTGAATGGTAAGACAACAACATTCAGAAAAGCCTTCACCAGGACTGCGTCTACAGGACCACGGAGGTCACTGAGTGGGGGCAAAAGTAGGGGAAAGGTTTTGTTGTTTTATCTGTATAATCCTCTTAGGTTTACACGGTGTTACTCACTGGAAAGTCTGATTTAGTTTTTGGTTCCTTGGAGTACTAAACAGAGAATAACCATATGACTCAATATTTCCATTGCTGAGTGTGTATCCAAAAAGGAATGAAAATGAGTCAAATGGACTTGATGTGCCAAGACTGACTTTGTTTTGTTTTGTTGTATTTTTTTTTTGAGGTGGGTCTTTACTCTGTTTGCACTAGCTAGCCTGGAACTCAGTATGTAGACCAGTGCAGCCTGGAATGCCCAGACGTGGGCCTGCCTCTGAGTGCTGGGACTAAAAGCGTGTACCACCATGCTCTGCCTAATAATGCAATACTGATAGCAGCTTTATTCCCAATAACCACAAGGCAAAGACAAACCGACTGCCCACCAGCAAACAAAAGTGTATACACAATGCAGAATACTGTTGAGTCACAAAGGGGAAGGGCCACTGACACAGGCTGTCATGTGGATGTACCTTGAAGGTACTATGCTAAGAAAAACAAGTTAGACCCAAAGGACACGTATATGCAAAATCCATACAGGCAATTCATAAAAACAGGAAGTCCCCGGAGATCACCAGGGAGATGAAGATGACGAACACTGAATAGGGAAGATAGTCGTTGTATAAAATTATGAACACAATTAATAACGAAGAATCATATACTTACAGTGGCCAGATGCCCAATTGTCATCTCATATATTGACCATAATGAAAATTCAAGTTAAATGCAATTAAAGAAAAAAAAGCATCAAGTACAGTTTGACTTATTCTTCATTGAAGCATTCTTCTTGCCTTACCCCACCCTCAGCAGCCAACAGTAGTCTCTGAGAATGTGGGCCCTAAGCTGAACGCTCCCTAAAATAGAAAGGTATGTGGACATGTACCCTTGTGTTGGAGCAGGTCAGCCCTCAGCCTGGCCTTGAGGCCCAGAGCCCATGGGTTGACTCTCTGGCCACCGTCTGTGGGAAGGAAGAGGCCAGTGTGACCCAGTTCTGACTGCTGTGTCAGGAAGTTTCACGGATGAAGGTGACCTAGAAGTGAAGTCCGTCCTGGGCTAGGAGCTGAGGATCCAAATTTTATTAGCAGCGGTGGGGTGGGGTATGGTGGGCATTGCTGGGGTGCTTGCGGGGGGGTCTCACTACAGTATGATTTTAGCTAGAAAAGCAATGGAGTCTAAATGGTGCCTTCCTTGGTCCTTAAATGCATATTTGCGTGGATCTGGGTTTTTAATGCTGCTGTGGGAAACTGGCTTAGGGCTTCCTGCTCTTTCCCCGTTCCTGTTTACCATTTAAAGACCTTGCCTTCTCTCCTAATCAAGCAGATAACTAGGTCTGTTCACAATTTCTCTGTATTCTTCCCAACCCAAACTATGTTCGCCATCTAGCGAGTAATCCTTGCCATTACAGCAGCGTCCGTCAAATGCCTCGGTTCTCAGCCCGGCTAAGGCAGCCCGGTCAAGCTGACCCCAGTCACTTGGCATATGCTGCTGTGACTACATGGACATTCAAGCCCAGTGGTCAGATCTGAGCCATCAGAATAGTGGAAGTTCTCACGGAAGGGGCACTCCTGCCGTTCCTAAGAAGATAAACTCTGAGAGTTCAGTGTTATAAAAGGTTTAAGCAGGACAACTCATGAGAATTAACCAGCAGCGAAAATGTTCTCAAGCCAACTGTTTGCGCACTGTGACGTTTCCACATTTATTTCCAAGCTTTCTCTTCTTCCTTTGTGTTCTACAACCAATTCCAGAGGCTATCACAGTCTGGGACTCTCACAGTAAATGCTGCCTTGAGGGCTATCCAACCTGGGGCCAAGGACAGCTGCACACACAGCCTGCCGCACAATGTGAAACTTACACACAGCATTATGAGAGGGGTTGCCCCTGACTCTATACTGACCTCTTCTCCAGCATGACCTTTGTCTTCCACAGTGTCCTACCTCAGAGTCAAAGGCCACAAATGCCTCTCAGCATAATAGTCTGGGTTTCGGAGCACACATCGAAAGAGAGCTACATTTTCAGCGTGTTGTATCTATCGTTATCCTTTGGAAGGTGGCCTGGGGATACTGCGTTATATATGCTGGGGATTTAAAAACAAAAACTGGCTGGGGCTGGCTCAACGGGAAAAGGAGCTTGCCAACAAGCCTGGTGACCTCAGTCCAGTCCTGGAAGGACTGGTAAGGACGTAAGGAGAGAACCGGCTGCATAAAGTTGTCCTCTAATCTCCATACATTGGCTGTAGTGTATGTGTGGCCACGACCCATGCACACCATAAAAACAATTACATGTTTAAAAATAAAATAAGGGCCACGGGGGTGACCCAGCCAGTAAAGGTGCTTGCTGCCTAGACTGATATTCTGAACTTGAGCCCCGGGATTCACATGATAGAAAGAGAGAACTGACTCTCACAGGTTGCTGTCACACACACACACACACACACACACACACACACACACACACACAAATGTTTAAAAAATTAAAATAAAAATTAATACTAGTCACTTAGAATTCTTGAAGAATCCCTGATGCTATCCTGTGGCTGGGCCCTTAGGATTCCTAAACAATGATAAGGGCTCTGTTTTGGGAAATATACTAAATCCTGTGTGTTTGCTCCTAAGACAGAGACCCTGGGAACCCCACAGTTGTAAATGGAATGCCTGCAAACTGCCAGGCTATGGACTGAATCCCTATGGCTGTAATCTGTTTTATATATGTCTCTCCATCTATATCTACACATATGGAAACATATATTTAAATAAAATAGAAACTGACTTAAAATTTAACACACACACACACACACACACACACACACACACACACTGTTGATAGCATTTTTTTCCCTAAACTTGTTGAAAGCCACTTGCTACACCCTCTTCCGCAAGAACCGGCAAGATTTATTTTAAACCATCTTCTGTCCTGCCAAGGACTACGAGTATAGAAGAGAAAGCAGACACAATTCCCACTTTACTGCCAAACTGGGTTTATCACTCAGCATGACACTCCACAGCGATAGCTGGGATCCAAGAGCCATGAAGGCTGAGCACGGGAGGTGGTGTGGAATGATTCATGCTGTCCAGAAAGCCCTGGGACCTGCTTGACTGGTGATGTAACTGATACTTGCTTTTCTTTCTGTGCATTTCTGTGCACGTGGTTTTGCAGGGAAGGCCAGAGATACCGGGTGTACATCGTGATACCGCTGCTGCCGGGATTCGAAGGAGACATCTCCACAGGTGGAGGGAACGCATTGCAAGCGATAATGCACTTCAACTACAGGTGCCCGGACTCCAGACCCTCTGCTCTGATCTCTGCATCACACATGGAAGCCCGGCAGGGAGCTGCAGGATGTCTGCATAGTTGATCAGTATTTTACTAAGTGATAAAATTCAAATGTTACAGTCATACATGAGGAAGTGCGCTCTCTCTCCTCCTGGTTCTCACTGTGTAGCCCCGGCTGCCTGGAACTTGCTATGCAGATAAAAGGCTGACCTTGAACTTCAGAGATACCCCCACCACTGCCACCTGAATGCTCAGCTAGTACCTGCTTATATTACATTTTTAATACATAATGTTAATGAAAAATATGTTTATGCCACAATCCCTTTATTCTTTTCAGTAAGTAGGGAGAGTTGAAACAAAAAATGTTAAGTACTAATGTGCTGTTTCACAGCCTCCAGTCAGGCAGAGCAAAGATGATAACCAGAAGATTTCTTTTAAGTTTCACACTTTTCTTGTCTTCCTTTTTTGGGTGGGAGGAGAGAATGAGACTTTAATGAGACGGAAGAGAGAAGGGCTCTGAGCCTTGGTCACACTTGGGTGGAGAATTTTGTGCCCCACGCTTGGCTTCAGGGAACCCCAGCTGATTCCGAGAACACGGTTTGAGGGCCCCATTGGGTGGGATTGTGGTCGTGTTTGATATTAAGCCTCATATGGCCCAGGCTGGCTTTGAACTCGCTATAGCTGAGGGTGGCTCTGAGCGTCTGATCTTTCCAGCCTCCTGAGTGCTGTGATTATAGGTGTGTGCCACCATGCCTGTTGGCAGCCCTGGGGATGAACGCAGGTCTTCCTGCGTGGGGTTAAAGGCATGCACTGCCAGGCCCAGCAATTGGTTTCTTTGTTTCCACTGACTCTTCCAGCTTGTGTCTGTTTATCTGCCAGGGTTTGAAGTAAGCATTGGTACTGATGCTGGCATCCCAGGGCTAAAGTCACCTGGTTACAGCGACTACCTTTCTTCTACATACTTGGACTTAGTACATAGCCAAAAACGTTTTTTGAGCATGTTGGTCACATGATGTTTAATTGCTTTCTGTCTGCTTTCGTGGCAATTCAAATATTACTTTTGGGATTTTGTCAGTTGTATTTCCTATGACTGTTTTTGATTTTTTGAACCAGCTGGATGAAATGCACATTTGGCTGTTGTTCAGCAAACGAAACCTTTTCTTATGCCTTTTCTTATGCAAAAACATCTCTATTTGCTGGTGTTGACTTGGGTAATAACAGTCTTTCCAGGCATAGCTGTAATTTAATTGCATTCATACAGTAGGCTGATGGAACATAGAATTTTGGTTTTTTTCCTTTTTAATACACATTTTCATTAACATCCAGCTCAAATATTTTCTACTTTATTTTTAAAGTTTTTATTAGCATATGCTAATTACCTTAGTAATGAGTATAAATAAATGAATTTTCATTATAACATTTTTTTACATGTATATAATTTTAATCATATTTGCTCTGTGGTCCCCTCTCTCTCAAGCCATCCCCTACCTCATTCCCTAGTCTCTTCCCTCCTCTCCCCTCCTCTCCTCCCTCCCTCCCCCTCCCCTCCCCTACCCTCCTTCCTTCCCTCCCTCCCTCTCTTCATTCTCCCCTCTCTCCAGTGAGCTCCATTAGAGTTCTGAGCATTAGGAGCCTACATGACAGGTGGTTTGTGGGATCTTGCGTGTCTTCCCACGGCTACACCACTGAAGAAAATGTCTCCCCCTCTCTGACTGTGATAGCTTCTGGGGAAGAATGGCCTCAGGGCTCCTGGCTTTCCCACTATTTAGAGGCTTCCGTATTTAACAGTCTTGGGGGCAGAGATCATCGGCAGAGCGGGTTATTTAAAGCTTGGTTTTTCACAGTTAGAGGTTTTTTTGCTGACTTGATGGAAATAACCCAGTCTAAGGGTTGTTTTTAAATAATAATTTAGACTTTATAATAAATTTAGACTTTATAATAGTCTGCTTACTTCTTGACACTCTGACAAGAGTCTGCCCTTTTCACCTCAGAACGTAGGATGATTTTATAAATGCTCTTATGAAGACTCCTAAATCTTTGCTGTCACAAAATTTTCTAAGGGAAAGTTTATTCACAGCCCATCTCTCTTTCTGAACTCTGATCTCTGTTTTATAGCTCTCCCATTGACTCTCATCAAAATAACTGTCTTTTCAGTAACATTAAAAAAAAATCTTACTGCGGTTTTAACTTTTGAAAATGGGCAGCGTTTTCTCAGGAAAGTGCTTGTCCCATTTGCTCGGGTTAGGGTTACATCCCCGGGTATTGCTGTGAGACTCGGTTGCCGGACCCTCCGTAACTATGCCTTTCCATGTTTTCAGAACCATGTGCCGGGGCGAGAACTCCATCCTCGGACAGTTAAAGCCAGAGCGTGAGTAGTGTTCTCTTCTCTTCTGAGTTTGTCCCTAGGAAGCATCAGGGCATCACAAGATGAGATATGAGCTGAGGCGACAGTGGCTATCAGCTGTTCTCCTTGTCACGGAGAAACGGCTGACAAAGCAGCCTCAGGGAGGCTCATGGCTTGAAGGTACGCTCCATCCTGGCAGGAATGGCAGGCGGCATCTGCAGGGGTGGCCACGTTGAATTCACAGTCAGGAAGCACGACAGGATCAATGCTGGGGTACCCTTTGTCCTTTTTGTTCAGTCTGGAACCCCCTCTCATGGAATGGTGCAGCTCACACTTAGAGTAGACCTTCTCACTTTAATTAACTTCATCTAGAAAACTTTTTACACGCATACCTTAGATTACCATGAAATTAACTGCCATGGTATCCCTAAATGTTCACGCGGTGTGCTTGTTTACAGAATACTGCTCACAGCGTGCTTACAGAGCACTGCTCACCAGGTGGTGTGCTTACAGAACGCTGCTTACGTGGTGTGTTAACAGGATACTGCTCACAGTGTGCTTCCAGAGCATTGCTCACGCGGCGTGCTTACACAACACTGCTCACGCGGCGTGCTTAC